TCAGAAAACGTGATCAGCATTTGAGAAAATCCCCTGTGATGGAGAAAAACAATTTCTCAGGAATAAAGCTGGAAGGAGGCATGGTGTGAGTGTGGCTTCTCCCAGTGGGAACAGGAATTGGGACATCTTTTAATGTTTTACTATTCAATAAAGCTCAAGAGCCAAATATTAGGGAATAAAAACCTGATTGATCCATGGAGCAATGGAGCAAAGACCACTTCACCCTCTTCTCCACCTCCCCAGTCGAAAAGACTGCTCACCTTTTTTAGCCCCTCCTTATTCTCTTTGTCCTTCTACCCCCTCTGAGTTGGCCGGAAAACTCTATGGTGCACTCCTTGGGAGGTCTCTGAGTGAAAATACAAACAAATCTCCCTCGACAAACAGGTTTGTCCATCCCTTTCCTTCCCAGGAACCACGTTGTTCGGATGGCGCTTCTCCTCTGGCCCCCAAAGCCACACTCTGACATACAGCCACCAAACCCAGGGGCTTGTGGCTGTCCCTGAATGATTGCATGGCTGAGCCATGGGGGGCTCATGAGCGCCGCGCCCTTTATGATCTTGAACTGGATTCAGTTGATATTTATTTAGCCTGGTTTTCTTGAAACCTAGTTATTGAACTCAACTCAGTCTCCACCCAGGCTGTCCTGTACAAGGTTTTACAGAAGTGACGGAGCACACTCTGTCCCTTCAAAGAATGTGTTGGGGAAAACAGACCTTAAACAAATAAAGAAATATGTGCAAGCCCATGCTTCTAGAGCTCTCTGCCAAGGTACCAGTAGCAGAAAAACAAACATGGGAAGCAGGAAGGAGGTCAAGAAAGCTCCGGTAACATGGCCCTTGAGCCAAGAGACTGAAAGCAAGGAAGGACCGCACCGGGCAGGAGAGAAACCACCATTGGCAAGGCGAATGGCTTGATGCAGTCAAAGGGGGGCTGGTTCTCCGCTGGAGAGCGAGGTTTGCCTGCTGCTTCCGATGAGCAGCCTGTTTGCAAGCATTTGCAGAGACCCTACGGGCTGAGCTGTACTTTGTGGGGGTGCAGGATAATGTTTGAGCCCTGCCCTTAGGGAATTCTCAAACCACAAATGAAAAGCACGTCGGACGTCAAGGGGATGAGGCTGTTTTCAGCCTCCGAAATGGGAGCTGCCGTCTGCAGACTGAAAACACCACCGGAAGGGCCGGCCAGGGTCTGCAGCTGTTAGGCATTACAGCTTGGGTCCAGGGGTCTAGCCTTGAACGTCTCTCTCTTTCTCTCCCCCTCTTCCCCTCCCTCCCCCCTCTCCCCTCTCTTCTCTCTCCTCTTCTCCCCCTCTTCCCTACCTTCCCCTTCCCCCTCTTTTCTCTGCACTTTAAAACAGAAGAAAAACATACACACAAAACCCCCTTAAAGGCAGTCCTGTTTACTCTGTGAGATTAAAGAGCTCGGACTGCCTTGGACAGCAGAAGCAGACCTTTAAACGCATCGTGGACAAAGCGCCTCTAATTGCGGGACTGCGAGGCAGGGTTCTGTGATTCTGCGCAGGCGTGTGTAGCCTTGTTCGTTCTAGTTAGAGGCCGGGAGCTAAGTTTCAGCGCAGATTTTATTTCGGAAGTTTGGATTAAAACACATTCTCCATCCATGCATACCATGGGCACTAAACTTCCCCCTGGAGCAGGATAGTCCAGGGCCCAAGAGCGTCTTTGCAGTAGCATGCTGCACAGGAAATCTGGTGACTGACCAACTGGCCTTAGGTTACAGGGCGAGCGGGATCTGGTGTCGCTGGAACACAGACAGCAGAAGGCGCAAGCTGGAGACTCTGCGGTGGGACCTCGCTCCTGGTATGTTTTTAGAGGTAACTCCCCTACACTGCATATACTAAAAAGATACACACAAACCATGACTACTTCCCCATCCCGGCCTCTACCCACTCATCTCTAGAGAATCTGATGCCCTCTCCTGACCTCCACTGGCACCTACACACACACACACACACACACACACACACACACACACACACACACACACACTGTGAGTGCAGAGCTAGAAATAAAATAAAATCTTTTAAAAGGATTTACCATTTGTTTGATATTTATAATTCTAGGTTGAATTATATTTGAAATAACTACTTTTTATTAATTGATTAATTGATTGATTGATTTTGTTTCTTTGGGCAGGATCTGAAGCTTACCATGTAGCCAGGTTGGGCTTATACTCATGGAAATCCTCCTGCCTCAGCTTTCCATGGCCTGGAATTACAGGCATATGCCATCACTCCCAGCTTGAGATAACCTTCGATTTAACATATTCATGAATTTAATATTTTAGACAATGAAAATTATTGGTTCTTATGAAAATTTTAACTCAGAAAAATGAGTATTTAAGTTGGAAACTGAACACAATGAATATCTGCTTACAGATATTTAAGAATGTCAAATGAATTGTGTTTGTAAATGGAACCTAACATCATTCTAAGACCCTTTCTAAGATCCCAAGACTTATGAATAGGATCATAACATTTCTAAATAAAAAGTTTAAGGGGCAAGATGGGATGTGCACAAGCATGAGGCACCGAGAGGAGAGTGAGCTGAGCTCAGCCTTCACCTCTCTCTGCTTCCTGAGGGCAGAGGCAACGTGACCAGCCGCCTCCTGCTCCCACGCCCTGCCTTCCCTACGTGAGGGACCGTCCCTTAGACTCTGCTCCCACACCATGCCTTCCCTAAGTTGCTTTGTCAGGAGTTCAGTCGCAGCAATGAGAAAAGTATCTAATACCACCAGGCCTCATTCTAGAAAAAATATATACCAGGAACAATGAGTCTAATAAGTAGAAACCAGAAACCAGAAAGAAAACTAAAAACTGATGTGCCCCTTGTCATAGTTAGCATGAACTGTCAACACAGCCTAATCACCTGAAAAAAAGTATCTCAACTGAGTCATTGTCCTCATCAGTTTGGTCTGTGGACATGTCTACACGGAACCGTCTTGATAGTTCATGGATGCAGGAGGGCCCAGTCCACTGTGGATGGCAGCATTCCCTGAGCAGGTGGTGCTGGACCAGACAAGAAACTGCACAGCATGAGCCTGAGCTGTCTGGTGAGCACAGTTCCTTCGTGGCTTCTGCTTCAGGTTCCTGTCTTGGGTTCCTGCCCTGACATTGTGTGATGGACTGTGACCTGGAAGTGCAAGCCAAATAACCCTTTCCCTCCCCTAGTGGCTTTTGGTTGCAGTGTTTATCACAGCAACGTAAGGGAAATAAGGATGCCACTTCATCCAAGAATCACAAGTGAGATGCCTTTAAAAACAACAGGAGACTCTAAGTAAACAAAATTTTGTCCACACAAAGTTCATGAGAGACAAGCACACTTAAAAGCAAATAGTGAATAAGTGTTGATTCTGATTATGTTCATTCCAACATGCATCAGGAAAATACAAGCAATGGGAAACCACCACAAAAACTGAACTCAAGACTGAGCCATGAAGTGGAGAGTACCATTGTTCGTGACAGGTGGTGATCAACTGTCGTCTTTGGGTGTTAAGATACACCAGAGCAAATCACAGCGACTGCAGGTTTCTGTTTATCATCACTCGATGTCATTAAGGAGCTAGAACTACTCCACAGTGAAAAGGTTTCAGTATCACAACGATATACTGGTTTAGTAGCTCTGTGTGATTTTATTCCTCCCTGAAAAACATGTTTTAGCACTAACATACAGTGCTGGTGGGACCGCCCAGACAGCAGAGAGCTTGCTGCAGAGTTCAAAGAGCAAGGTGGTGGTTCCTAAGGAACGGTACCCCAGGTTAACCTCCGACCACGACACGCACACATTCAACATACACACGTCTTAGTCAATTGCGTGATCGAGGCGTGATCGAGGTAAAAGAAAACATTTAACCGGGGGCTTGCTTACAGTTTCAGAGCTTGGTTCGTTATCACCGTGACGGGAGCGTGGTGGCATGTGTGGCTCTGGAGCTGTAGCTGAGAGCTGCATCCTGGTCCTCAGGCCAAGAGAGAGACACTGGGTCTGACTTGGGCTTTTAAACCTTGAAGCCCATTCCCAGGGACAAACTTCCTCCAACAAGGCCACACCTACTCCCTCAAGGCCGTGCCTCCTAACCCTTCAGCTCATCTACTGGGGACCAAGCAGGCAAACTATGAGCCTATGGGGCCATTCTCATTCAGACCACCACACACGTGTCCGCGGGAAAGCTTACACAATGCACAAGTACTTACAGCTCTCACTGCTGGACCACACTCTCGAGTACAGCAGCTGGCTTTGTTCTTGCCCATACCCCCTCCGAGAATGAGGAAATCAAGGCTCGATGTACTAGGAGGGCACAGGAAGGAAAAACAGATGAAATCTTTGTTACAGAATGTCCATGTTCTGGAAGCTTCCATGTGCTATCCACATCTCCTGAACACCCCCCACACACACACACACACACACACACGCTCAGCACAGCCCTGGGCAGAGGTGGTCCTATCTTACTGGGCAAGGACACGTGTCCTTACTGATCTGTCCCTGAGCTTTAAATTCCCCATCAGCTCCAGCAAACTCCATTCCTGCCTATCTCAGGAAGGAAGCGTACCTGCTGCCCTCAGGTTCAAGGCCAGGTTCCATCCCTGGAAGGCTCTCACCCACATGGGTGGTGAACAGAGGCCGCCACACTGACCCACTTCCCTGCAGTGCTGTGAGACGAACTGACTAATTACAAAGGCTAATAAAATATTTACAGAGCTTACAGCACGCTTTGGAAGTGTGAGGGCTTACTTAATGAAAGTGACGGCGTGTTAGATCAACACGGCTCGGAGCCCAGCGCCACGCTGGAGAAGAGCAAACAGCCACCAGGGCAATTTCAAGCTCTATTAGATGCCTGCAGCCAATATCACTGTTCTCCAACAGGAGACAAACTGTGTCGTGTAGGAAATCTGCACGGAGACCACGGCCCAGCCATGCGAGCGACACCATTTGATTAAGATGATTGGTGACCTTTCATGCAAGCGCCAGTCTCTGTTGGTCTTTTCCAAATTCTTTTTTAAGCTAGATGTGAATTGACTTCAAGCGACCTTGGGCTCAAACTCCAGGGCACTCTTGATTTGTGAGAGTCTCGTCTCTAGGAATCTGAAGTTCAGTCTCACTTGGGCTGGCCAAACCCACGGGAGGGAAGCCTTGGTGACAAGTGTGCGGTCATTTGAACCCTTTGGGGACCATGTAAGTAGCACAATCTGTCTTGGTAACAAAAGAGGTCTAAAATGTGAGAAATTCAGACAGGGAGAAGAATCCATGTTGGCTGTTCGTGGCAGGCACTGGGGTGCTGCAGAAATGCTGAGCTGGCATGCAGGAGTCCGCAAGTGCCCCATGACTGGCAATGGTTAGGGCTGGATGAGCCAAGGTGAGGGAACCAGAACTCCACCTACCAACAAGGTGCCACCATTGCCAGAGAGCTGAGCAGAGAGTGGCAACGGCGGAACTGTCCACCTCTTCCCGGTGTCCCACCTGCCTAGCCCTCCACCGACCTCAGCAGCCGCTGGCAGAGCAAGAGGCGCAGGAAATGCAGCAGGCGCAGGAAATGCAGCAGGCACAGTTGCCGCCTGTGATCCAGGCAGAGCAGGGAAGGGCTGAGGGCTATAGCCAGATGCTCCACCCACATCACAGGCACTGGAGGTGGGACCAAGTAAGCTCCCATGTCACACGGGGTGTGAGATTCTTCCTGAGCATGCAATGGGGCAGACTGACCGGTCTTGAAGCAGACTTCTCCTTCTTGCATTCTGGAGAAACAGCAGAGTGGAGCAAGCTGGGAGCTCTGGACACCCGGATCCCAGTCCACTTATGACTGAGCCCGGACCCAGCTGCATCCCCTCCCAAGAGAACAAGCCAACCTTCAGAGAATATGGTTCTAAGACTAGGAAATCCCAGTGCTGGCCACACCTAGGGGTTGAATTAGCTTTTCTTGTGACTTAGAATTCTGACCTTTTAATGCCTCAAAGGCCTCATGCCAAGGGCTACCCATCTTAAACATGGGATACCAAACTTAAACAGACTCTTTGTACCACATAGACATAAAACTCTAGTCAGAAAAATTCACCTCCCCATCCACCCCAAATTACCAACCCCAACAGTACCCAGTGGGTTGAAAACATCAAAACATGTCAATTAGCAGGGCGGCCCTAGAAAGTTAACTTATTTTTCTTTCTCAAGAAGAATGTTTAAGATGCAAACTTTTTTAACAATCAAATGAGAAGCATGAAGCTCATGGGTGTCATGGGTTATGGGGAGCTGGAGAAATTGTTTGCCAGAAGATTGCATGATTTATTAATATCAAAACCAGAGACAAGAATCAAGGACTCCAGGCCGGGACCATGCCCATGGTGACACAGGATGAGCTCTTGGGGACCATATGTAGCTAGAGTTTTCCTGCCTTGCCCATAGTCAGGACAAATCTTTGTCACCCACCAGTCCCACAGCCGCTCAGACCCAACCAAGTAAACACAGAGACTTATATTGGTTACAAACTGTATGGCCGTGGCAGGCTTCTTACTAACTGTTCTTATATCTTAAATCAACCCATTTCCATAAATCTATACCTTGCCACATGGCCCGTGGCTTACCGGCATCTTCACATGCTGCTTGTCATGGCGGTGGCTGGCAGTGACTCCCTCCACCTTCCTGTTTTCTCTGTTCTCCTCTCTGTTAGTCCCACCTATACTTCCTGCCTGGCCACTGGCCAATCAGTGTTTTATTTATTGACCAATCAGAGCAATTTGACATACAGACCCTTCCACAGCAACCATGCCCGTGTGACACAGAATGAACTCTTGAGTTAGTGGTGCCCTTCTTCCCTCCATGTGCTGCACAAGTTCCTTTTCTTCGCCAGTGACCAAACAAGTAAGACCCTGTTCCTCAGACTGCACCCAGAGGGGGTATAAATAAGGCCACAGCCTTCTTACAAGGCCCCAACAACAAACTAAAGCAAGATTCCACGAAGTTCACCCTGGGAACCAATGAGTTTATTGGACTTAGCTGCAGAGCATGGGTGCAGAGTTACTCGCAGGAAGGTGGCCCTACAGTAGCCTTGCTGAATCGGCTCTGTCCAGCATGGATGACGGCTTCCCCATAGCCTCGGGGATGGAGGACCTTCAGTTCCCAAGGCTATGTACTCTTGCGTCTCCTGAGATCACATGCAATTAGGGCAGAACTGCACACAGCTGGGTAGAATGGGTGGCTGGAACCTCAGGTGAGAGTGCCCTGAGCCCCCCAACCCCTCTCACTCTGAGGGAATGTCAGTAGTCCACAGGTCCTGTGGCCCTGACCTGCAAGTGGGCACAGTCTGACAAATCTGATGAAGACGGGCTGGGAGGATAATCCTGTATGGCTGGTGTGACTATGATCAAAGTACATGATCTGCAGGTGTGAGAATGTCACAAGGAAGCCATATGCGCCCGATGTGGGGACTGGGGCCTGAACTCAGGTCCTCTGCAAATGCAGTAAGAGCCCACAGCTTCAGAGCCGTCTCTCTGTCCCTTCCTTCCATGTGCAAGTGGCTGACCCCAGCAGTCAGTTCACGATGATTGGCAGCCGTCTGGAAGCACAGGCCCCTCCTTTGTGTCCTCACTCATTTTTCCCACATTCCCCTCTCCTGGGAACAGGCAGCCAAGCTGTGGAAAAGATGAGAGCGTGGCTGTCCTTTCTCTTCTCCCGTCATTCTGGAGAAATGGTACTTCCCTGCAGGACTGTGTCATGGTGATAAATGACATTTTTTGTCTGGGTTATTTTTAATCCTTCTATTTACAAATAGCATATGCAAAACCTAGGCTGGCCAGATGTATCCCTCTAGGATCTAAATCCATGAATACTTGCATGTCTGATAAAGCAGTAGAGGTGGGGTTTTGTTTTGTTTATTAACTTATTTATTTTTATTTTATTTGCATTTTATTTTATGTTCACTGATATTTTGCCTGCATGTGTGTCTATGTGAGGGTGTCTGATCCCCTGCAACTGAAGTTATGGACAGTTATAAGCTACCATGTGGGTGCTAGGAGTTGAACTTGGGTCCTCTGGAAGAGCAGTCAGTGCTCTTAACCACTGAGCCATCTCTCCAGCCCCCCCCCTTTTTTTTTGTTTGTTTTTTGTTTTTTTTTTTGTTTGTTTTTTGAGACAGGGTCTCTTATGTAGCCATGGCTGTCCTAGAACTCACTATATAGACCAGGCTGGCCTCGAACTCACAGAGATCCTCATGCTTCTTCCTCCCATGAGTGCTGAGATTAAAGGCGTGCACCGCCATGCCTGGCCATAAAGCTGCAGAATTTTAAATAAGGCCTATCACATGGGCCAACCCATAATATCCATATGTGATAAATTTGATTTCTCATGTGTTAGTTTTCCTAAATAGCCCAGGCTGGCCTTGAACTTGTGATCTTTCTGCATTAGCCTTCTGAGTGCTGGGATTGCAGGCATAGCCCATCATGTCTGGCTCTGGGCTTTGTTTTTGCTTTTAAGTTGATTTTATTTTTAAGTTTTAGGATGCTTCAATCAGTGTCGTTTTACCAAATGCAATTCATATTAATATTTTACACTTTTGCTTTTCTTAATAAAATGAGGGCTTTGATTCAATAATGTAAAAACAATGCAATTAATATAGACACTTATGCAATGATTGATTGAAACAGATTATTGTAGTTTATATTAGATTCTATTGTGACATGTGGTGTTAAAATTTAAAGCATTCAATGATTTTATTGTAAATGCCATCATTTTTTAATGACAAACTCCCCTCTGTCTTGTTGCATTGTATAATTATCTGTAAGCAGCCTGAGTTTAAATTAAATATTTAAGAATGATGTGTATCAGTAATCTATGGAGTCAAGGCAGTTATTATTCATGAAACAGTAATAACCACCTCCTAAGTCAGACAGTTTTGTTTTTAAGTAAAATCTAGACTGAAATGTATATAATGCTGAAAAATATACAAATCCCAAGGGTTTATTTCAATGAATCTTGATGTTTAAAATTCAATTTAAGTGGCATCCAGTTTTTGTGTTACCCTAATATACTCTAGAATGCCAATAAAATCAGACCCTACTGTGTGTCAAAAACAGAGAGATGTTTCTAACAAATTGTGTTATTGTTTATTTGTGTAGCTTGAGTTTTAGTGGCCACGAGTTAGGAATTACTAGCCCCAAAGCCTGAGTGCATGGGGGTAGGTGCCCAGGACTCCGGGAACTGTGAACACAAACAAAGCTTTCCTTCACTAACTGCCTCTCATTGGCGTTGTCTGTGCCCTGGTAAAGGTGACTCTAGAGATCTCACCTTTCCCAGTTTCCTTCCTTTGACTCTGATGAACACCAGGACCAAAGGCAGTCTGAGAGGAAAGTGTTCCTTTGCCTCACAGCTTACCACTCTCCGTGGAGGGAACCCGCTTACTAGTTTCTCTCCACGGCTTGCTCAGCGACCTTTCCAACACACCCAGACCCACCTAATTAGGGATTGCTCCGCCCGCAGTGGGCTGGGCCCACCTACATCAATCAGTAATCAAGAAAACAGCAAGCAGATATGCCCACAGGCCAACATGATTGAGGCACTTCTCAACAGAGATTTCTTCATCCCAGGTGTGTCCAGGTTTGTGTCAAACTGACCAAAACAAAACAAAACAGCTCCCTATTCAAGCTCACACACCTAGATCGTGGCCCAGACAG